AACGTCTGGTGTGCTAGTGATGGCTCTGTTTTTGATATGTGCTATTTATATGGGTGTATTCTCTTTTCAAAAATCAATCAAGTTATATAGTTAGGATTTGTGCACTTTTCTATGTATATTATATTTCAATCAAAAAATATTAAAAATCTGGCTAAGCTCCTGCTAACTGCATGGCTAAATAAGAAAAATGAATTTGTTTAATTTGTTTTTCCAATTTATAAATGCTTAAGAGAATTCAGTATGTGTAGAATTAAGAAGTAAAAACAATGGCATCTGTCAATCCTTGTGCACAGAAGTGAATGCAAAATTTCCTCTGCATGACTCTGCCATTAGGCATCTCAGTCTTAACCCACTAGATCCCTGATGTCTCATTTGCTGCATCTTAACACACTAGAGCAACATCTGGGCTGAAATTTGCCAAACTGGGCAGTGGTTCAACAATGTTTCTAGCCAAGGGGCTGGTCAGCGTGTCAAACTATTTAGGACTGAATATCAGAGCCTGAATGTCAAATCCTGTTTCTCATAGTGAGAGGTCATCTCAGTAATAAATTGCATTGAAAAAGATTAGGGATAGGGGCTGAGAGGTGGATGGGTGAGGAGATGAGCTTCCCAGAGACCCAGCCATGGACCAGAATCCAGGGGGAATACATTCTGAAAATCATTTTAATTTTCTAAAACTAAACAGGGAAGACTTTGGCTTTGCTGCCTTTGATACTGGTATTTCTCTTTGTTAATTATGAAACATTTCATTCCTTGCTGAGATTCTCTAGATGAAGTGGTCTCCTATCAGTTACTCAGGATCCCTTAGACCTGAAGGTAAACACTAGCATATGGCAATCCTGTGAACTCCTGTCTTTGTCTCAGAGCAATCTGTTTTCCAACCTATACGATGTGGTTTAGACTGCATGACTGCAGGAAGTAGTACACACAACTCGAAGTTTCCATCTAGTCCCCAGTCTCAAAGAAAAACAGAATATTGGAAACAGGGGCTAGAATTGGGCAGGAAGAAGAGAATTATTTTTATCTTCAGATTCCTTGACCAATAAAAAAAACTGTACTGATCTGTTAAATCAGTTAACTTGTACTATTTTTTGGGGTTGATGTAAAGGGTCTGTCTTTTGTAGTCCATCTTAACCATACCGGTCAGATCTTTGAAGTAATTCACCAACTAGTGCTGAAAAAGGCTTGAAAATTCATATAGTCCTTACTCTCAGCTGCTTTCTGATCTATGTCTCCTTCGTCACTGATAAAATAGAGGCAATAAAAAAATATGTACAACTTCCTCCATCGCATGTACCTCTTACCAGCATCTGTCCTAATGTACTCACTTTTTTTCCCCTTATTGATGAAAAACCCTTGCTCCTGTCTGAGCCCAGCCCCTCTATTTGTAAACTAGGATAGAGTCAACAAATTGTTGTTTTATTAAGGACCAGATAGTTCACATTTTAGGCTTTGTGGAACATTTGGTCTATGTAATAACTTCTCACCTCTAGTGAAAGCAGCCATAGATAATATGTAATCAAATGGGTGTCTTTGTGTTCCAATAAAACTTTATTTATAAAAGCAGGTAGTCAGTTGGACTTGGCTTCTGGGATGTAGTTTACTGAGCCCTGCACTAGATCCTATTGCTCTCGCCTATTCAAGCTCCAGCAATTCTCCTGCTTTCCTACATCAGCACGTTGTTTCCTCTCTACAAGTTCATTCCCACCAGTGCGTTTGTATATTGTTGTTTCTTCCATTTTAAAAACCATCTCTTGATCTCACTTCCCCCTTTCAGCAGTCTTCTTATTTATCAGCTGCCCTTTACTTGCCTTTTTAAATTCTTTTGAGAATTAAAAAAATCCTCAAAAGAGTTCACTTTTGTCTTTTTAATTTGTCTATGCCAATATTCCCCAGAGCCTATTCCAGTAGCTTTTTGACCCCACCACTCCTCTGAGGTTGCTCTAATCAAGGTCACCAATGACCTTTATATTATTAAATCCAATGGTTAATTCTTGGTCTTCATCTTACTTAACTCACGAGCAAGATTAATCCCATTGATTATTCTCTTCTCCTCTCTAACTCAGAGGGCAAATGTGAAACAAACCACTTATTTTCCAGGTACTTTAAGGGGAGATGCCCCAAAACAGTAGAGAAAGCTGATCCTTAGGGTACAGAGGGGTGGCAAATCATGCTGTGTAGCAAAAAGTATGATTGTTGTTTAATTAGAAGAGATACTATGGTTTTAGTTCAGCTACAGAGGGAAAAATTGAAAGACAGTTTTTTCTCCCCAAGTCCATTTTTTAAAAGGAGTCTCTTGTCCTAAGAAATATATAAAATATGCAATTTCAAGTGATTTATGTAAGATAGCATTCAAATCTGGAATAATACTTTTATGAAAGTTTAAGTCCTGGTTCTGGTTAAAATTTTTAATTGCACTGAGATTTTTCAAAAATCTACAAAATTGTTGCAATTGAGCAATTTACTTCAGATTTTTGTTTTCTCAGAGCACTCCATAAAGAAGTAATTTCCTTTTCCCACCCTCATTCTCCCTCTCCTCCTGTTTTAAATTTCCTTACAGGTTTTCCTCATAGATTTCCATCTGACCTATGATATGTTTACTTCGGCATATCTGTGTTTCTTCTATTTTTTATTTATTTATATTATTTTTAATTTTTTTTCCCTAACCCTAACCCTAAGTGTTTCCTCTAGAATGCTGGCTTTCAGTATTCTAGAATGTGGTATCCTTAACTCTGGCATTGTGGCTAGCACAGAGAAGGCACACAACAAATGTGCTGAATGAATGAATGAGCCAGAACCTCTTTATAAACAATTTCTTCTGGAGATACTTGACTTTCAAAAAAAGCTTAGGTTTCTGTCAGGCAAACCCTAACCCTAAGTGTTTCCTCTAGAATGCTGGCTTTCAGTATTCTAGAATGTGGTATCCTTAACTCTGGCATTGTGGCTAGCACAGAGAAGGCACACAACAAATGTGCTGAATGAATGAATGAGCCAGAACCTCTTTATAAACAATTTCTTCTGGAGATACTTGACTTTCAAAAAAAGCTTAGGTTTCTGTCAGGCATTCTACATAATGAGAGAAGCTATTTTCTTTGCTGCAGGCACTGTACAAGGTACTATGTATATTGGCTTTAGAGATTAAAAGTGTGATGTTATGAAACAATAAAATTAGAAAGATGGAAAATAACAGTTTCAGAATAAAACAGTGCTTGCAAATCTTAACCTTCTGGCTGAGCTATTTCAATGGCAGGAAAGTATCCTATAGAATATCACATTTACAGAAGGCAAAACATATTCCGTAGGTTAATTATACTAGGAACATCAAGTAGCTACTAAAAAAAGTCTATAGATACAGTCTTAATGAGAAATATTATATGGCTCAGAAATCAAAACCCCTATAGAAAATTAGTGGGTAGGAACCCACAGAGAAGAGAAAATTGAATATGTTTTAAGCATAACTGCATAAAGGTTTAATGCAACATAAGATATGTAGCTTAGTTTGTAGTATAAATTCTATATTCACTCTTAGTAAGAGCCTCTCTGTCACTTACTGAATGTTTTAAATTGAGAGTTAGTGAATCTCATGAATTGGTCATTTTTAAAATGAAATATGGTTGCATTTGGGGAAAGATATTTTTAAAATATTTACAAATACTTAATATTTGTTTGTATATATCCATCCGTCCATCCAACCAACCAACCATCTTACCATATACTGAGAAATGAAGTATATACAACTCAACAGGTAACTAACAAGATGCCAGAATCAGAACTATTGCAAGTACAACGCTGTCACACAGACAATGTTTCATTGAACTGAAGTCTCTCCAAGTGTAAATTATAATATAGAACAAATAGGTGATTTGGTTCTTAAAGAGAGAAAACAGATTAGGTTTGTAACACAGTCTTAGAGAGTAGTTTATAAATACCTAAGAGTATTAAAACTGGCGGGCATTTTATTCATTCCATTATAAGACTTGATGTTATGTAAATGTTGGAATAAACTTCTAACATAATCACTAAAGAATCAGAAGTCAGGTCAGTACATCTGGTGTAACTCAGAAAACTGTCAGAGCAATGAGGGTTAAAAATTTATAGATATTAATGTCCCAACAATGAACACTGTTTTGACATGACCCCATAGTTGTGATCCATGATGTAAGAAGCTCTATAAGGGCATAATGTCTTCGCACACTTTAAAATATTCTTGGATTCATATTCTTAACTCTTGAAGGAAATTGTATGAAGGGTAAGGATCATTGCTAGTATCCTATAAACATGGTAAAGAAAACTCTTCCTTCAATATGTTCATGTCAGTGCTCTTTTAATGGCAATTAGATATTTTTAGAAAAAGCATCAAACTTGAGTGCAAGGTTCCCAGAAGTTCTCAGCTTCTTGTTTGATATATCTTTGCTGTATTCTAGTTATTTCTGTATGCATCTGGAAAGGCTCACTACTTTAACAGATCAGCAACTCCTTAATGGAGAAATCGTGTCTAATTTATCCTTTTCATCCGTAGTTGAATAAATATTTTTATAATTAAAAAGTTTTATTTAAAATTTTATTTTTTTCTTCTTCCTCATATTAATTGAGTAGCTACTATGTGCATGGTCTTGGGCTAGCTGCTACACTGGGTAAAGGTACTGAAGATGTCTGCCCTTAAAGAGAGGGTTGGAAAGGAAATGGGTTGGCAGTGGCATGAGATGAGAGAATGAATTGTGATATGATGTTTAGGTAAAATGAAATGTGGTTTTACCCATATTTTCTTTTGCAAAGTTATATTAAATGCCTTATTCCTAATGAAAAGTCTCCATAATTCTAAGTAGATGTCATTACTTGGAAGTGTTTGAATTACCCTTCTACTTGGCAGCTGAATTATTTTTAGACAGAATTTTAACACATGTTAAATACGACAAAAACTCAAAGTCTTTCACAGGCATCAGTACAGTATCATAAGGATTCAGATGGTGACAAGCTTCAGATATTTCTATTCACCATACCTTGGCCACTTCTTCTTGGAAAGCCACAAGGTTCAAATAGGAGATGTTAACTAAGTCAACCCCGTACACCACGGTTATCATGCGATGTTCCAGGCGTCCAATGTTCCCCACATCCAAAAGTTCACGTAATTTGGGGTCCTAGAAAGAAATGTTGAAAAAAGTTAGTTTATAACTAGAGATTCCAACATGGTAGCATAATTTCAAAAGAATTAGAGCTAGAATGCCTTCAAAGAAAAGTTGCCTTTTATTCTTCCATAACATTTTTATGTGCACAGTTCTCCCTTAATTTCCTCCAATTGTCCATGAATCATGTATTGAAATGCAAAATCACATCCCTTTCCTCAATTCATGGACACATTAATGTGAAAAAGGTGGTTCTCAAAGGAGGTAGAATCAAAACATGACAATGCCAGCATGGACCTTCTCTAACATGTGGTACCTATGTAAAGAAATAGGCTATTAGTGTGAGCAAAATGGCAGTACATGTCATGAATATGCAAATTTCAATTCTATCATCAGAGAATACTGGGATTTGGAGAAAGAAAACTTCTGTAGTCTTTTCAGAGCAAGTTGCATTCTTTGGGACATCCTAAGTGAGGGTTCCTTGGAGATATAGTCCTGATGAAAAAGAAATTTCCAAACCTTCCAAATTCAAAGTTTGATCTACAATAGGGCTCAATCAGCTAGGCTGAATTTATTTTCTTTTCATAGGCCAGGATTTGAAGAAAATGAGAGGTTCATGAAGAAAATTAGCATCAAATCAATCACTTAGGAAATTTGCAGCCCGCATCTGAACAATAGATTAACTTGCATTCTTATTTATTTAGCTAAATGCTAGGGCAACAGGGCTGGATTACTTAGGCTGGTTAAGCTGATAAAAACCCTTCTGAAGTTTTTACATAGAGCATCCTTATAAAGAAAGAATAGTCTTAAAAAAAAATGACATAAGTTATACTTTCAAATGACATTTTCAGCAGAGGAGCTCCTCAGAGACTAGGCAAAGGGGGAAGTTATCTAGAAGGATAAACTGTAAAGGCACCAAGTTTTGGGAGGACTTTATGGGAGAAGAAAGTCAATGGAAAGAGATGTCTAAAGAAATGGTTGCTTTTGGGTCTGGGGATATAAGTGGTTGCACTTAAAAATCAAACAAAATCAAAATAGTAACAACAACAAAAATCTACAGACAAGTGGTTTGAATGAAAACCGCTTCTTCCAAGAGCCTATTCTACTGAGGAATTTTATATTTGAATATTTCTCATTGATTGAACCTCCTGATCCTTTTCAGAGAAGGATTTTCTTACTCAGGTTACTACCAGATTCAAACACATTTCTTGGTCCCTGCAATTGATATATATTCCTGGAAACTTTTATAAAGAAAATAAGCTATCTGCACAACTATGTAAAAATATTCAATTTCTCTGCTGGAAAACACTAAAGAATATAGTTCAGAAAAAATAAGAGGTGAGGTAAACTTGGAATTTCAATTTTCACTAAGTTGTCACTCAAGGCCTACTATCCCCAGAGAATATTCTAGTTGTCTCCACAATTGGAATTAACCGGACTACTAAGAATCCTGGCAGCTATAATTTAACCGCACTTTTAAAATTAAATTCTAGATCATCTCTATTCCCACAAGAGTTACAGAATAGAGATTTTCTGACTAAATAAGCTCACTTTCTCTCAATCACCAGGATTTGTGATTAAACTTCATGTCTATTGCAAAGAAAGTCAAGTTGTTCAAGTTAATGATTCCCATTTCCAGGTAATAGGCCACTGAAGAAAGTAAAGTCTGCTCTACACTGGAGACACAAGGGCTCCATTACAGGCTGTTATTATAATTATATCATCAAAATATTATGAATTAATGTAAGGAATAAACACAAGCTAAGGGATGATTTTTAAAAGAATTAAATGCCAGTTTCAACCTTCATGACTTTTAAGAAAAACTATTTTATTTGTATGCCAGATATCCACCTCCACAAAAAAAAGATATCCTTTCAAGATCTCTAGATTTCATTTTTTGGTGCAGAAAACATGCCTTACTTAATTTTCATCCCCATGAAATATATCTTTACTGGATTTTAGGCTTGTTAAGCAACTTGTCTTTTAGGTTAATTTTATTCCCAGCACTAAATGCAATATTCTCAATCTGATTTACAGTTATATGGATGTAACTTTAATCCATCATTCATATAAAGGATCAGGTACATGAAAGTCTTTCCAGAGTCAGTACAAAGTTGGAAATGTAAGAGATGGATTCCTTATTATACTTAAGTGACATTTATATGCTCAAGCTTTGCAGGGATGAAGATACCTCTTCTTTGAAGGCAGAGCAAACTTTTTAAATGCTTTTATTCAAATTTTGTTGTAAAGAAAAGATAAAAACTTATGTCCAGTATGATCAGACACTTGAATTTAATAACTGCCTCTCAAAAAATAAAAAATAGATTAACAAATTCCCTTGGAATCAATACCTATCCTAACACCTTTCACTTGAAAATGTTTCTCTCTTTTTTATTAATGTGATGCGGAATGCCATTCTCTTCTTCAGGATGTACCAGTAGCTTGGGCAGGTCACACAGTGAGAAAGATTTTTAAAGATAAAACACAATCTACTTTCATTGACTGTGACACTGAAATACGGTGGCATGAGCATTCTCCTACATAGAGGGGAAGACTTGGAGGATGTTGTTTATGTTTTTATTTTTTTTCTGTAAATGACAGATTGAGATGAGGGACTTGAATTTTCTTCAGCTATTTCTTTAGATGAAGGGAGTGAATGTGGGAGGACAGATAGATTATGGGCAAATAATAGGGAAAAGAAAGAGCTGGCAGAGTGCTGTCCTTCATATCTCACAGTGGTATTATTGTAACAAGATCTTTTATATTTGCTTCAGATAGAGTGGTGATGAATATGTATAGTCAGTCTCCATTATATTCACAGGGAGCCTTAGTGTATAAGTAAAGAAATCTATTGGTGGAGAAGAGAAAATGCAGCTGAACTGGCTATGCATTTCTAACCAAAATAAAGTGGCCTGAAAATACCAAGCATGAGTTGATTGAGCTAAAGCTAACACTATTCAAATCTAAAGGGGAAAAATGTTTGTTAGAAATGTAAAGACAACCATTTTGAAAAAGATTCCCCTTGATCACAGGCATATCTATGCAGCTAAAAATGTGGTTATCCTTGGAAATGGCTACGGAGAAGAGATAAATAAAATTTAAGGAGAGTCTCTAAATAGCATTCTAGTGGTTAATTAAAAATTTAACTGCTTGAGGTTTTCCTCTTCTCCAGGACCAAGCTCAGGGTGTGATTTAGTCTGTTTTCAAAAGCTAGACTGAAAGAAGAAGGGATCTTGGAGGCATTCACACGGGCTGATAGAGGAAGCAGAAAAAGGGGATTGAAATTAAGTGCTCAGATTTCTGGGAACAAGGAAGTTAGTCCCAGCACGTGGAGATGTCCACAGGAAAGAAACTTGCGGAGCTTCATAAATGCTGTAATACTGTCTCTTTCGAGAAGCTGCATTATACGAGTATGGCTTCTAGGTTGTGTACACATGCCTGGCTTACATAATATTTGTCTTGATGCTCCAGAAGCTGATCTGAGTCAAAGATCTGGGGGCAAGTAGGTTATTTTGCAGGTGATCACAGAAAACACAATGTGGGAGTGGGAAAGTGAGACAAGGAGGAAAGGAAGCCAATATACAGTGTGTTAATGAGTGGTTTACCACTTTGGATACCTGAGGCTCAATCCAACCAGGGCCACTCAAGGATAGTGTAAGGAACACACCTCAGAATTCTCCCCAAGGAGCCTGGAAGCTAAAATATTGATCTGTCAACTCTCATCTGTCATTGGTAGAGAGTCTCTCCTGGGACACCAACTCCCTTGTATTCCCATGACCAGAACACTTTCCCAGGACTATATGGGAACTCTATGCAGGCAACCTCGGCGGGTAGGCCAGGACTATCAGTGCATTGAAAATGTCTGTTACAGAGTTGAAGGAGTGACCATCAGAAATAAGAACATTTTCCTGATTATTGATTAACCTTCATGTATTTTATGGGATCCACATTTGAAGAAATTTCACCAGGGTAGCAAAGAGATTTAGATTCCTAATGGTTCCGTTCTCTATAAAAATTGTAAATATAACTATAATAAGTGCTTCTAATTAGTAACTATGTGTCAAGCACCACCCTAGCTGTTTGTTATTTTTCTCCTCCATTTAATCTGCAAACTAACATAGAAATAGCTGTTTTTTCCCCCAATTTGCAAATAAGAACTCTGAGGTTTGAGGAGGTAATTTGCCCAGTTTTATAAAATGGAGAGAAGAGACAATTGACTCCAAGTACATTTGACTGTAAAGTCTAAGCCCTCTCCATGTCATATTGTGTTACACAGCATATCCAATTTGATGGAATTTATATAAAAATAGCGCAAATATTTCAGCTGGCAGCATAAACTTAAATAAATCAAAACCGACCGAAGGCATGTCCATATTTTAGGCACTTCGTTAAAATATAAAGTAATCCAAACATAAAATTAAAATAGGTAAGAAATGTGGTCTAATGGCACCACTTGCCTTCCTAGGAAACAATGGTAGCTAAATGGTCAGGTTTAATTGTTTGCGCAATCATCCTTAAATGAAAGTAAAAAAGTGCATGAAATACATAAGTGTTAAAAAAAAATGGTCAACCGAAAAACCAGTTAGCTTCCTCATTATCATCCAGTCAGTATCTGTCATACTCAAAAATTCTAAAGTATAGATAGCTTGTCACTCATGCTGAAACTGTCTCTCCAGCCTTCTTTGACACATGCAGCCACCAAACTGCCAGCAAAATTTACGTGTGCAGCCATTACCACTCCAGTGCATAAAAATCCACAGGACTCAGGGATAGTGATGACTGCAAAGCAGGTAATTAGAAGTCATATGTCCTCTCCTGTTTAAAACCCCCAACAAAGAGGGTGAAATGCATTCTATTCGCCTTCAACTTTCAGGTGGTCAGTGTTTCTAGGTAAATTTCAATAATCCTGCACCCAAGTTTTAGAAGATTAATGAGGCCTGTTTGTTTAAAGAATGCAGATATATTTACTAAGTTCTCCCTGTTCTGTAAGACCCTTATTGGTGAGATTTCCACCC